CTTTACGAAAACTGGAGATATGAAAAATCTAGATTTCCAAGCACATATATTACAGAATGATGGTTAACTTTACAGAAGAGATTAAGATAGGAATCCTCAAGTAGCGACTGACCATAAGTAAATTGCTTTATAGCAATGTGCCTCTTTTTTTCTGCCACTCTTGAATTGGAAAAACTGTATCTGTTGTTCTCTTACTTCCAAGGATTTTAGAAATTAATTCTGGAAATGGGTTTCTCCCACTTTCCTTAGAAACTTTTTTCTTTTGTCAATCGTGTGCATTATTTAAGTCATTTCCATGGCAGATGAGAAGTCTTATTCTTGCAGTTTTATCTGGCAAATGATTTTTCCAATTTTTAGAGACAGGCAACAGGCAGCCAATGTTATGGTGGTACCAACAGGAGGATTTAGTTCCCGGCATAGTTTTTGCATCTGCTGGTGGCTGCTTGGGTGACAGCTTTTTGTGCCTCACCCTGCCTGGCTGAGAGGCTGCAATAATATTTCCCTCCCCCACTCTTCTCTCACACTTGAGTGATGTCCTGAGTTATGAGGAGAAGCAGCTCTGCAGCCAGAGCTCATCTTAGTCCTGCATTTTACCGGGGCTGGGGGCTCTGTGAGCTTAGTTCCCTTCCTTTGGGTTGATGGTCTTTGGGAGGCTGATGATTTTCTCAGGACGGGGACACAGAGAAAGCCCATGGGATATTTTCAGAGACTTTTAACAGGAGTTCCCAAAACCCACTTCCTACCATTCACTAGTCTAAAGTTATTCCAGAAGTGTTCAGAGCTCAGCACAGTGGTCTGAGAGAACCTGGACCGTTCTCTTAGACTGTTGTCTTAGACGCTTAGAGAGTGGTCTGTCAGTGAACATGTGTGGAGTGTTGCTGGATGCATGAAGCACGCCCCTGCCCCATGCTCACCCCTGCACGCAGCTCCAGGTGCACAGCTGGCAGCTGAGTTCCCTGCCATGCTCTGGAATGTACTGACCTTCCTTCCTCGGGAAAATGGCACTACTGAAGAGTGTTGGGCAGCTTTTGCTCTAATCTGTCAACACTTCCTCACTCAGGGTCTTTATTGAGCAAAGACAAACTTGGGAGCCTGTGGCAGTCAACACAGTGGACCATGGGAAAATGGCACTACTGAAGAGTGTTGGGCAGCTTTTGCTCTAATCTGTCAACACTCCCTCGCTCAGGGTCTTTATTGAGCAAAGACAAACTTGGGAGCCTGTGGCAGTCAACACAGTGGACCACCTTCTCTGCTTGGAATCCCTTCTCTTGTCTACAGTGACCCCATACATACCCGATTTACCTCTTACCCCTCCGGCCATACTTCTCTTTCTCTGGGTCTTTAAATAGTTGAGTTCCTCAAAACTCAGTCTTAGATGTTTTTTCTCTATTCTCCTTTCTTCTCTCATCTTCATTTATTTCCTCATTCCTCTTTTCCTAGATAATTTCATTAATTCCCATGGTTTCAATTACCACCTATTTAGCAATGACTCCTACATTTCTGTCTCTTGCCTGCACTTCTCTTTTAAACTGTAAACCCATATATTCTACTATCCACTTCACATTTCCACCAGAAGTCTCATAGTCTTCCCAAATTCGACATGCTCAAAACAGAATGAATCCTCTCCTCCTCCATTTGGTTTCTATATTCTTTCCATAGTGGTCTTCATCTGAGTAAGTTTCACTGTAACCTACCTAGCCTCTTGGGTCAGAAACTTGGGAATATTTCTCGTTTCTTTCCCACATTCCCGACATTCAAACAGTGGGGTTTCTATATTCTTTCCATAGTGGTCTTCATCTGAGTAAGTTTCACTGTAACCTACCTAGCCTCATGGGTCAGAAACTTGGGAATATTTCTCGTTTCTTTCCCACATTCCCGACATTCAAACAGTGGTCATGTCCTGCCAATTATTTGTTTAATATTTCTCAAATTTCCACCTTAGTCTAATCATCCTAGTCCCTCTCCTGGTAGCTGCATCCGCCTCCTAACTGGTTTCCTAGCAACAAATGTTTATCTCTGCGTCCCCCCCCCAACAAATTCTTTCCTTAGATAGTAGCCCCTTCCTTCCTTCCTTCCTTCCTTCCATCCATCTTGATGATTTAAATTTTTATGTCTGTTTTCCTTATTTAAAAAAATCTTCTCAATGAGTTATTTTGAAATAATTATTGCTTTATAGGAAGTTACAAAATATGTTACTGAGAGGTCCCATGTGTCCTTCACCCAGTTTTCCCCAGTGGTAGCATCTTACACAATTACAGTACAATATCAAAACATGCTATTGACATTTTGATACAATCATAGAATTTATTCAGTTTGTTGGTTTTACATGCACACATGCATGTGTGTATGTGTGTGTTTTGTGCATAGTTCTAATGCAATCTTGCCACATGTAATCACCATTGGTTTTACATGCACACATACATGTGTGTATGTGTGTGTTTTGTGCATAGTTCTAATGCAATCTTGCCACATGTAATCACCACCACAATCAAGATACAGAACGACTTCATTACCTTGAGCTTCCCTCATGCTAAAGAATGCTCCTTTAAAAACACAATGTGATCCAGTCACTGCCTTGCTCAAAACCCTTTAATGGTGTTAAAGCCCCAGATCCTTAAATAAGGGCTATGTAATCTGGCTCCAGCTACCTCTCCAGCCACCTCTCACCCTCTCCTGCTCACCCACCCTCTGCCCACTGGCCTTTCTCTTCCCTTTAGTTTGCTGAGCTCCTTCCCTGCCCAGAACCTGCACCCAGGCTGCTGCCCTTGGAATCCTCTTCCCCTCCCACCCAGCTGACTCCTCCTCATCTTCCAGGTATCAGCTTCAAGATCTTTCTCAGGGAAGGTGTCCCTGACATCTCAGACTAGGTTATGTTCTCCTGTTGTTAGCTTTCATTGCCAAGTATGCTTTTCCTTCACGGCACTAGTCACACGATTGCAGTTATGTGTGTAATTAGATATGTGTGTAGTTTATTAATTTCAGGTCTCTCTGGCCAGACTACAGGGGCTTGGAGGTATTTTGCTCATCCTGGTATCCTTTCTGTCTAGTGCAGTGGCTGGCTTAGTGGTAGGTGCTCAACTGATACTTGGTAAGTTAATGAACACTTACTGTAAGCTGCTGGCTGTGGTGGGGGTGTGGCCTGTGGCCGTGGAACTGGGCACAGTCAACTTGCCTGCATGGGTATCTGCTCCATGACTTCATCTTCACCTTTCCTACGGACCCCTGTCAGAATGTGGGCATCTATGGCTGAGACCACCCAGAGTGTCACGTGGATATTTTCTCCCCCGTTTCCACCACACTATTCTCTCTGAGAGACTGGAATAGGGGGCAACCCTGGCTAATGTTCTTCTCAGAGAGTCTTTGAGAAGCTTTCAAGAATATCAGCTGGATATTCATCCAGGCTTTTAATATAAGGCTTCTTTCTCTTCAGGCCCACAGCCATGGTGTCACCTTGAGGGAGTTGTTAGTTCAGGGCTGTGGGAGTCTCTGAGCTGGATGGCACCTGTGAAGTCCTTGAAAAGCTTTTAAACCAGCCCTCTCCTTGATGCTTCCCCCTGTATTTGCTAGATGTCTTCCACCCCCACCATTGAGTCTTTTCCATCCACCCTCGCTCTCTCAGAGATGACTCAGTGTGGGTTGTATTTGTGGAGCCCCAAATTTGAAGGGTCCCTATGTTGACTGAATAGATGGTATTTCACCCCAATGACCATGATGTAACCAATTCTCTGAAGATTTGAAAGGAAGGAACTGGGGCCCTCCTGCTGGGATGTGGCTTTGCTAGGGGGTGGTGGTACCTGTCTGTGAAGGGCGCTAGGTTGGTGGAGCTAATCCTCCGTGGTGTGCCTTGTCTTTCATCCTTCTTTAAAGCACATAATCCCTCACATGAAAGAAACAACATGATGTACTTTATAATGGGTTTGGCAGAGTTGGGAGCTCGGGCAAAACATGAACCCACAGCATTAGGCAAAGCTGTCAATTCTTTTATGACAGAGTTAGGAATGGGCTTTACCCTGGGTGATCAGGGCAGATTCCCATCTGGTTCACAGCACTGGAAACCTGGGAATGTCATCCAAGTTTCCCTTCCCTGCCAAATGGAAGATCAAGGGTCCTCACGTTCTGCAGCTCACAGCTGTCCTCTCACTGTTGGCATCTCTCTTTTGGGTGAGTGAGGGCTGAGAACAGCCCAGCTCTGCAGGCCAAGCCTCAGGTGCTGGTCCACTTGGGTTCCAAGGTCAGTGCTCCAAGGTCACTGCTCAGTGTCCCTCCCCTGATCTTGCTATTGGTTTGGCTAACATGGTACTTGGGATGGAGAAGAGTCAGAACCAGCAACCAGTCCTTTTAGGAAAGGCCTGGCCATTTGCTGTGATGTCCCATTTCTTTGCCCTCCCTGGCAGGCCACTTCCTGTGATAGTCCCTGTTACTGTTCAGGGCTTGGACTTTGGTGGTCTCATGGGCTTGGGCATGGTTGCGCTCGATAACAGTGCAGTGCCTTATAATGGCTCTGAGCACTGTCCCTAGAAACCTTACCCGATCATTCTGGCATCCTCACTTGTACCCCAGTGTGATCAACTTTTTGGATCAGAAGGCCTAGCTCTGAATAACTTCTGTGTTGCTCCTGCCACAATGATGCCGAGGCCTAAGGGATGATGCTGGCATTTCTCGTGGGGCTGCCTTCTGGTTCTCTCTGATCACTACTTTCTGTCCTCATCTCTGGTTATGCCTGTGTGGGGACGTGACTCTTAGGGCAAGGGGAATTGGATGGCATCTGTCCCCAATAAAAGGTTAATGCTTATTTCTCTCTTTGGGCCTCAACCTGCTGTAACTGGGGGTGGTGGTGAGGAGTGGGGAAGGGCCACATCCAGGCGCCCAATTTGTTTCCCAGCCTGTGCTATTCCCACCCTCCCTCCATGTTGGGCATAAATGTGTTTCTGGTTAGGGGTGTTGAGGGGTGACAGGTCAGGCCCTTTTGCCCTAATGCTGCTGTTTTTGGCTTCCTCCAGGTCACCCGACCTGCCTGCAGTTCACCCTGAACATGACTGAGGCCGTCAAGACATACAAGTGGCAGTGCATAGAGTGCAAGTCCTGCATCCTCTGTGGGACCTCCGAGAATGACGTGAGTGTGGGGCTGCCCCTGTGTGGGCAGAGACCCAAGTCCTCAAGGGGTGGAGAGGAGGCAACGCTCTTGTCACTGGGCTCCTGGGGAGAATGCCAGCCAGTCTTGCTCTGTGCCACAGGGACCCTGGGTGCCCTTTGTGCCTGTGGAGAGAGATGCAGGAGGTGGCCACCAGAGGCTGCCATAATGGCCATTTGCCCTTTACCCTGGCACTCAGGAGCAGCCTGACCATTGGCCCTTGAGGGTTCAGTGACTGACAGCGGTGACCATTGCTTATGGCTGGGATGTGCTTGACAGTTTCCACCACATTCCATGGTGTATGATCTCATTTGGTCTAAATGGTAAATATAATAAATGCGGAAGTTTCAAAACCACTTTTTGTTATGGACAATTTCAAACATATACAAAGGTAGAGAGAATAGTGAAACCCACGTCCCCATCACAAGCCTCAACAATGATCAATACGTGTCTAATCTTCCTTCTAAATACTACTGCCTCCCCCTCCATAGCCTGGTCATAATATCATTTTTTCTTAAATATTTCACACGTATCTCAAAAAGATGAGGACTTACTTTATAACAAAAACAGCCAAAGTGCTAACATAGCTAAAACAAATCAGTAATTCTTTAATATAATCAAACATCTAGTCAACATTTCTATTTTCTCAATTGTCTCATAAATGTTTTTATTACAGCCTGTTTATTAGAGTTGAGGTCCAAATAAGGCCCACACATTGCAATTACTTGATATGTCTTTGAACTTTCTTTAAATATATACGGGTTTATATAAGTATATATGTAGGTTCTTTAAATAATGTATAGATTTTTCCTTCATCTTGTTCTCATTTTTTCCCCCTTAAATTCTTTGTTGAAAAAATCAGATCATTTGTTCAATCGAGTTCCAATGACTGTATTTTACTGAGTGCATTCCTGTGGTGGTATTTGGCATTTTCCTCTGTTTCTTGTATTTCTTATAAATTAGTAGTTAGAGCTAGAGGTTCGAATCAGGTTATCTCCCTCTCTCTTTGTATCTCTGTCTCTCTGCGTCTGTCCCCTCACTATCTCTCTGTCTCTATCTGTTTCTCTCTCTCTCTCTCTTTTTTTTTTTGGCAAGACTACTTCACAGATGGTGGTGCACGCTTTCTTCAGGAGGCATGTAATGCCTGGTGTCTCTCTTTTTGTGAAGGTAGCATCTATTGATGATATTCAGCTAGATCGACTGTTTCATTAGGGGTTGAAAAATAGTGATATTCTTATTTGAAAACTTCTTTTTTGTTTGTTAGCTGGAGTCATTCCGTAAAGAGCTTTCCCAACCTTGTTTTTGGTTACCCTCAGATATAGACTAGATAGAAAAGGCAGGATAAATGCTTGATTCTTTCCCTTTATCAGTTTTCATAACAACAGGGTGGTTAAAGGACCTATTCACAATACAAACAAAAACCAAAAACAACACTCAAGAAAATAGTAATTACAGGATACCTTCTTAACATGATACAATATTTATACTTTTAGAACTAAATCCAGTATCTTATGTAATGGGAAAAACACAAGAGGCCTTTCTACTAAGATTAGGAAGCAGGTGAGGATGCTCACTCTCTCTGCCACTACTATTTGACATCGTTCTAGAGATATTAGACAGGAGAAACCAATTAGAGGCATAAGAAGGGATATCGAAGTAGTAAAACTCTATTTTCATATGATATGATAGTATATCTGGAAAACCTAAGATAATCAATGATAAAGCTAACTTAAACCTAAAAGGCAGCAGGATATGAAATTAACCTATAATCACTAATAGCCTTCATATACACAAATAATAACCAGTTATAGAATATAATTTCATTTATAATAGCAACAAAGAAGAAATACTTAGAAATATATTTAACAACAAATATGTAAAGCCTATAGGAAGAAAAATTTTAAATACTTTTTTTTTTTTTTTTTTTAAAGATGACCGGTAAGGGGATCTTAACCCTTGACTTGGTGTTGTCAGCACCACACTCTCCCAAGTGAGCTAACCGTCCATCCCTATATAAGGATCCGAACCCATGGCCTTGGTGTTATCAGCACCGCACTCTCCCAAGTGAGCCACGGGCTGGTCCTAAAATTTTAAATACTTTTGAAAAGACATGAAGAAAAAATGGAAAGATCTTGTGATTTTGGGTAGAATGATTTAGCATTATGAAGATGTCAGTCCTGTTTAATTTACAAATTTATTTCAAGCCCGATAAACATATCAACAAGCTTTTTTATGGAGTTAGACTAGTTGGTACTTAAGTTTATATGAAAAAACAAACATGCAAAATTAGCCAAGAAAATACTGATAAACAAGCTGTCATGGAAAATAGCACTATCAAACACTAAAATGTACTATAAAGCCTCTATAGTTAAAGCAGTGTGGTACTGATGCAGAAGTAGACAAATAGAACAGCTGGAATAGAATAGAAACCCCATAAATAGATGCAACTATATATGAAAATACAAGATAAAGCTTGCATCTAAAATTACTGTGTCAAAGGTAGACTTTTTAATGAATGGTCTGGGACAATGGGGTAGCCATTTGGGAAAAGACAAAATTAGATACATATCTCATACTATACATAACAATAATCTCCAAATAGATTGGGGATTGAAATGTAAAAAGTAATACCATGCTAATACTAGAAGAAAACATGGGTGAATTCCTCTTGATCTAAATATAGGGAAAGTTTTTCTGTGACTCAAGATCCAAAAGCAATGAAATAAAATATTGGTAAATTTGACTACATAAAAAAACTATGCCATCAAAAACATGTAAAGTCAAAAGACAACTGACAAACTGGGAGAAAATATTTGTAGCATGTACTACAAATGAAGGGCCAATTCCCTAATATATAAAGAACTGTTAAAAATTGAGGGACAAAAAACCAGCCAACAAACAAATAAATAAAGAGTCACATACACAAAAGTCTGGCTGGTTAGCTTAGTTGGTTAGAGCATAGTGTTATAACACCAACCAAGGTCAAGGGTTCAGCCAGTTGTAAAAACAAACAAATAAAGTCACAAAAGTTGAGGGGCAAGGGACCTGAAACCCAAAAGGAAGTGAGAAAAATACAAGACAGACAATTCACAAAAAATATAAAAATAACCCTTAAACATGTGAAAAAACAATGTTCAAATGGGCCAAAATTAAAAAGTATGGCGATACATTCTGTTGATGAAGCTGTGGGAAAACTGGTACCTTCCTATATTGCTGGTGGGACTATAAAGTGGTACGACCTTCTGGAGGGAATGTGGCAATACCTAACAAGACTATGATGCACTTCACGTTTGACTCAGCAATCCCACTGATAGGAATCTAGCCTGAAGTTATACCTCCAACACTATGAAAACAAATATACATAAGGTTATTTATAGTAGCAATGGAGTACTACACAGCTGTAAAAAAGAACAAGGCAGATGTCTGTGAGTTGATACGAGTGATTTCCAGGATATATTGTTAAGTGAATAAAAGCAAAGTAAAATAGAATATCTATAGTATGCTGTGCTTACTGTAAGAAAGAAAGAGACGTAAGATAACATACATATGTTTGCTCACTAGGGTAAAAGAAATACAGGAAGAATAAACAAGAAACTAATGAGATTGGTTATCTACAGAGGTGGGTGGGAATGGGTAGAGAAAAAATGTGGGACTGGCCATGGGGTAGCAGGGACAAGGGAGAAGCAACACTTATTTTTTCTAGTTCTTTTTTAAAAAAATTGAAATGTAATTGATTATTCTTATTTGTGGGATACAGAATTTACGACCAGTATTTGTGTATAATATGTGATGATCAGATCAGGATAGTTGACATACTTGTCATTACAAAATGTACCCTTTCTTTGTATCCATTTATAAGTTTCTTCCTAACCCTCCTCCCCCTCCCGCCCCGATAACCATAGTTCTGTTCGTTCTTTCTGAAAGTTCAATGTATTATCTCTTTCTTTCTTTCTTTCTTTCTTTCTTTCTTTCTTTCTTTCTTTCTTTCTTTCTT